TAAATGGAAATGATTAAATTATTTACAACAACACTGCAATCCTTTGTTCAAAACCCATCATTTCATCCACGACCTTTGAGTTAATATTGTAACCACGACTAAGAGTTAGCATATTATAACTGACACAAAACTTTATATTGTGTACCTGACCTGAGAGTTAACTTTGTCCATGACGAAAGAGTTAACACATTAACCCTAACACAATCTCAATATTGTATCCCTTACATTGCTAACCCCAACACAAGTAATGTTCAACAATTTGTATTCTAACACATTAAAAGAAATGCTACATTAAGGAAGCACTAAGACCTTTCAAATTGTGTAGTCAAGTGATGGTTCCTTGCAAAATGTTATAGTATTAAACAGCTACAGTGAGTGGAAATTGTCAGATCTTCTGCTTTCTGTGCCAAAATGGTAGTAACTAGAGCTGAAAATGCCTCCTCAACACCTTCTGAGGTCTTAGCTGAAGTTTTCATATATTGTACACAGTGAGTTGCTGCTAAGTAAGAAATTAGTTCATCCACTCCCGAATCAACAGAAATGTCACATTGGTTACCAACAAATATCACTGGCACATCTTTAATCCTTCTTATAAATGCCATATCTTTTCTACGTTATCAACTGATATTTCTTCATGAAGATTGAATACATACAAGATTCCATCAGCATTAACAATATTCTGCTGTCTCATAATGCTGAATTCATTCCTACCACTTGTATCAATCACTTCAATTGTACAACTTACACCATTAACTACACATTTTTTAGTGTACAAGTCTTCAATTGTAGGGTATATGTCTTCCACAAAATAATTCTGGACATATTGAATACACAAAGCACTTTTTCTCACACCAGAACTTCCAATAACAACAAGCTTAAGTTGGGCTGCCATTTTCTCTCAAAGAAGTTATTACCTCTATCATGCAAGAGTTCAATTAGCTTATAATGTAAAGACACAATTCTTATAATGTATGTACATGTAATTTTTAATTTGAAAAAATTATAATTTGTTTATCTCTCAGTTGTTTAACTCAATATAAATGGAAATGATTCCTCTGCAATAATTAATTATTTACAGCAACATTTCAATTCCTTTGTTCAACATCCATCATTTCATCCGTGACCTACGAGTTAACATTGTCTATGGCCTAAGAGTTAACATTGTGTCCGTGATCTAGGAGTTAACATTGAGTCCATGACCTAAGAGTTAACATTGTGTCCATGATCTAAGAGTTAACATTGTCTGTTATCTAAGAGTTAACATTGTCCGTGATCTAAGAGTTAACATTGAGTTAAGAAGAGTTAACATTGTCCATGACCTAAGTTAGTTCAAGAGTTAACATTGTGTTGTCCATGGTCTAAGAGTTAACATTGTCCATGGTCTAAGAGTTAACATTGTCCATGTTCTAAGAGTTAACATTGTGTCCGTGATCTTAATAGTTAACATTGTCCATGTTCTAAGAGTTAACATTGGGTCCGAGATCTAAGAGTTAACAGTGTCTTTGGTCTAAGAGTTAACATTGTCCATGGTCTAAGAGTTAACATTGTCCATGGTCTAAGAGTTAACATTGTGTCCGTGATCTAAGAGTTAACATTGTCCATGGTCTAAGAGTTAACATTGTCCATGGTCTAAGAGTTAACATTGTGTCCATTATCTAAGAGTTAACATTGTCCATGGTCTAAGAGTTAACATTGTCCATGGTCTAAGAGTTAACATTGTCCATGGTCTAAGAGTTAACATTGTGTCCATTATCTAAGAGTTAACATTGCCCATGGTCTAAGAGTTAACATTGTGTCCGTGATCTAAGAGTTAACATTGTGTCCGTGATCTAAGAGTTAACATTGTCCATGGTCTAAGAGTTAACACTGTCCATGATCTAAGAGTTAACATTGTCCATGGTCTAAGAGTTAACATTGTCCATGGTCTAAGAGTTAACATTGTCCATGGTCTAAGAGTTAACATTGTCCATGGTCTAAGAGTTAACATTGTCCATGGTCTAAGAGTTAACATTGTGTCCGTGATCTAAGAGTTAACATTGTCCATGGTCTAAGAGTTAACATTGTCCATGGTCTAAGAGTTAACATTGTGTCCGTGATCTAAGAGTTAACATTGTCCATCTAAGAGTTAACAGAGTTAATTGTCCATGGTCTAAGAGTTAACATTGTCCATGGTCTAAGAGTTAACATTGTCCATGGTCTAAGAGTTAACATTGTCCATGGTCTAAGAGTTAACATTGTCCATGGTCTAAGAGTTAACATTGTGTCCGTGATCTAAGAGTTAACATTGTCCATGATCTAAGAGTTAACATTGTCCATGGTCTAAGAGTTAACATTGTGTCCGTGATCTAAGAGTTAACATTGTGTCAGTGATCTAAGAGTTAACATTGTCCATGGTCTAAGAGTTAACATTGTCCATGGTCTAAGAGTTAACATTGTCCATGGTCTAAGAGTTAACATTGTCCATGGTCTAAGAGTTAACATTGTCCATGGTCTAAGAGTTAACATTGATTAACATTGTCCATGGTCTAAGAGTTAACATTGTCCATGGTCTAAGAGTTAACATTGTCCATGGTCTAAGAGTTAACATTGTCCATGGTCTAAGAGTTAACATTGTCCATGGTCTAAGAGTTAACATTGTGTCCGTGATCTAAGAGTTAACATTGTCCATGGTCTAAGAGTTAACATTGTCCATGGTCTAAGAGTTAACATTGTGTCCGTGATCTAAGAGTTAACATTGTCCATGGTCTAAGAGTTAACATTGTCCATGGTCTAAGAGTTAACATTGTCCATGGTCTAAGAGTTAACATTGTCCATGGTCTAAGAGTTAACATTGTCCATGGTCTAAGAGTTAGCATTGTGTCCGTTATCTAAGAGTTATCATTGTCCATGGTCTAAGAGTTAACTAAGAGTTAACATTGTCCATGGTCTAAGAGTTAACATTGTGTCCATTATCTAAGAGTTAACATTGCCCATGGTCTAAGAGTTAACATTGTCCATGGTCTAAGAGTTAACATTGTGTCCGTGATCTAAGAGTTAACATTGTGTCCGTTATCTAAGAGTTATCATTGTCCATGGTCTAAGAGTTATCACTGTCCACGGTCTAAGAGTTAACACTGTCCATGGTCTAAGAGTTATCACTGTCCACGGTCTAAGAGTTATCACTGTCCACGGTCTAAGAGTTAACATTGTCCATGGTCTAAGAGTTAACATTGTGTCCGTGATCTTAAGAGTTAACATTGTCCATGGTCTAAGAGTTAACATTGTCTATGGTCTACGAGTTCACTTTGTGTCCATGGTCTAAGAGTTAACATTGTCCATGGTCTAAGAGTTAACATTGTCCATGGTCTAAGAGTTAACATTGTCCATGGTCTAAGAGTTAACATTGTGTTCTTTTTCTAGGAGTTAACATTGTGTCCGTGGTCTAAGACTTAACACTGTCCATGGTCTAAGAGTTATCACTGTCCATGGTCTAAGAGTTAACATTGTCCATGGTCTAAGAGTTATCACTGTCCATGGTCTAAGAGCTATCACTGTCCATGGTCTAAGAGTTAACATTGTCCATGGTCTAAGAGTTAACATTGTCCATGGTCTAAGAGTTAACACTGTCCATGGTCTAAGAGTTAACATTGTCCATGAGTTAACATTGTCCATGGTCTAAGAGTTAACATTGTCCATGGTCTAAGAGTTAACATTGTCCATGGTCTAAGAGTTAACATTGTCCATGGTAGAGTTAACATTGTTCATGGTCTAAGAGTTAACATTGTTCATGGTCTAAGAGTTAACATTGTGTCCGTTATCTAAGAGTTAACATTGTCCATGGTCTAAGAGTTAACATTGTCCATGGTCTAAGAGTTAACATTGTCCATGGTCTAAGAGTTAACATTGTCCATGGTCTAAGAGTTAACATTGTCCATGGTCTAAGAGTTAACATTGTCCATGGTCTAAGAGTTAACATTGTCCATGGTCTAAGAGTTAACATTGTCCATGGTCTAAGAGTTAACACTGTCCATGGTCTAAGAGTTAACATTGTCCATGGTCTAAGAGTTAACACTGTGTCCGTGATCTAAGAGTTAACATTGTCCGTGGTCTAAGAGTTAACATTGTCCATGGTCTAAGAGTTAACATTGTGTCCATGGTCTAAGAGTTAACATTGTCCATGGTCTAAGAGTTAACATTGTGTCCGTGATCTAAGAGTTAACATTGTCCATGGTCTAAGAGTTAACATTGTCCATGGTCTAAGAGTTAACATTGTGTCCGTGATCTAAGAGTTAACATTGTCCATGGTCTAAGAGTTAACATTGTCCATGGTCTAAGAGTTAACATTGTCCATGGTCTAAGAGTTAACATTGTCCATGGTCTAAGAGTTAACATTGTCCATGGTCTAAGAGTTAACATTGTCCATGGTCTAAGAGTTAACATTGTCCATGGTCTAAGAGTTAACATTGTCCATGATCTAAGAGTTAACATTGTCCATGGTCTAAGAGTTAACATTGTGTCCGTGATCTAAGAGTTAACATTGTCCATGGTCTAAGAGTTAACATTGTGTCCGTGATCTAAGAGTTAACACTGTCCATGGTCTAAGAGTTAACATATAAATACTGACACAAATCTTAAGATTTTTCCATGATCTAAGATGTTACTATTTCATCCATAACCTAAGAGCATATAAACACTGACACAAATCTGAAGATTTCTATGATCTAAGATGTAACTATTTTATCCACGACCTAAGAGTCAACATTGTGTTCAGGATGAAAGAATTAACATATAAAACTCAACACAAATCTTTCATTGTGTGCATGACCTAACATTTAACATATAAACATCGATACAAATCTCAACATTCCTCCATAACCCTTTCTCCATAATCCAAGGTAAGTGTTAATACTTTATCCATGGCCTAAGTGTTAACATATTATAACATTTTTCCATGACCCAAGATATTACCATTTCATCCATGACCTAAGAGTTTCTGATAGTTCATTTCTGATAGTCCATCGTTATCCTGTAGAGTACTTGGCATTTTTTAGCAGCATGTTTGAAACCTTCTTCTTTAATGTATCCCATTTTCTTCGGTGTAATTCTCCTTGGTTTTCTGCACTTTTCTTCACTGCCAGAAGACAGTGTTGTTGCGAAGGGCAAGTTTTTTTTATGGTCCCATCAAAATATGAGGAGAAGTATTTCTTGATCTCATTTTCTTCAACCTCGGTCCATTTCACTCTTACTGCCAATTGCAATAAAAAAAAAAAAAAAAAAGAAAGTCAAAAGCATTTTCATGTATGAAGATAACTGCTATAAGAATGTTTTAAGGTTTTAATTTGGAATTGATTTGGTAGACAACACACTTTTAATGACAGTGAAACAGAACTCTCAGCAGGATGACTTACCAAATGGATAAAGATCAAACAACCTTCACCCTGGACCATTCATTGGTCACTTGACATAAAATGCCATTACAAAGTGTTCACAATGAAAGCGAACAGATCTCAGAGTTGGTCCTTAGATTATTATAAGCAACAATAACCATTGCACATCTGCACATGATAGCATAGAAAGTTCAAAACAATGGAGTTCAAGATAATCTAAACAGGGCCAAGGGGGCTTAATTGTCATCTGACCAAACTTCTGTGACCTTAAAGTATGCAAAGGTCATTGATATGAGGAAACTTTGTAGCACTCCAGCCTCGGTACCTACTACCCATATATAATTACCCTGGGCCTTTTGGTCCATGAGAAGATTGTTAAAGGTTTTACATATTTGACCCCTGTGACCTTGAAAGTAGGTCACGAGCATCCATACGAGTAAAATTTGTAGCACTCCATCCCTGGGTCTTTCGGTTATTGAGAAGATGTTTAAGTAAAAAGTTTACGCACAGCAGATGCAACATAGTTCATCTTGACCTTTCGGGTCAGATGACCTAAAATTGCTGACAGATTATGAAAGGGCACTAGCACAATCATGTAAGAGCAGCACATGTTTGGTTGAAATCTGATATCATATATATTTGAATTACTTAAAGGAAATTACAGACTTTCATGATTTTTGAACTCCTATAAATGTCAACGGATTTCATTGACATAAAGCATTGATACTGTATATCAAGTGGATATCTGGTATTAATTATTGAATATTTACCTTTCTGTGACTTCTTTTTCTGTGGTTGTTCACTAAAGGAATCTACCATGCCAGATAGTTCCCAATCTGTTTGGTTAAAAGAAGAGAAGGGGAAATCAGTTAGCTACAAACTTTTTAACATCTTTTTTTTTTCATTGGTCTAAAGTCTAAAGAGGAGAGGTTTAATTGTGGGGCAGTTCTGTTCACAGGGTGTTTAAAAGTCTCCATATTGGATTTTTTGTTGCAGGAAACAACAATTTAACCATTAAATCCAAATCATGAAGAAAAACTATGAATAAATAATTTATCGTATTGCGTCATATGGATTTATTTCAAATTAAACATCACTTTAAAAATGTTGTTTCTTCTGTCATACAACAGTGCACAATACTCATAAAAGCTGATTACTTAAAGCAATACATTCAAATTTTCCAAATAAACTCAAAAGTCACAGATTTTATAATTTGTGTTAGCCTGTGGAACCTCTGGCAAGACTTCTTCAGATGTCATTTGGTTTATCACGTCAAGATTTAATTAAATGGACCAATGTCAGCACCTAGGGATTTTCTAAATAAGCATCAGTGGGGCATGGCCCAGTCGAAATTGGCAAAATGTTTTGAGGATATCATGTGTACAGTGTGTACACAGCTCTTCTGTAATGACCCCTACTATAATTATACAAATATTGCACCTCACTCAATTGACTAAATGAGATTCAATTTATGAATGTAAAGAACATAACTGATAATTTCCATGTCAGATTTGGCTGTTTCATTAATTTGTGCCGTAATGTGAAATTTGACATGATTTTGACCATTGTATGGTCAAGGACATCCATTTAACTTTGCGGTGTACCAAATGTACAGAAATGCACGCATAATGCCCATCAAATTATTATCAGTTTCCATTTCATCAATCTATTTTACAACAAAGGTGATCAGATACATGGCTTGGTCCAAATACTTTTTCACTGATAACTTGTTAACACATATAATCAACTCTGCCTTCTAGTTTCTACACATGGTAATTTAATGCCAGTACTGCTATGTAAATCTCGAAAGCATACCCCAGTACATATATGTTAAGTTCGTATCACTTAACTTTTTATGATAATTGAAAATGTGGGGAGGCGAGAAAAGCAATACGAACCATCAAGATGGGAATCTGAAGCAGTTGCATCGGTGTCTCCTCCCTTGCTCTCATGGATAGACTCTTCAAGTTCTACAGGTAACAAAATATCAAGTTCCATTATAAAATTCTAGTACTATCAACTTATTGTTCTGTATCTATTAAAGACAAAAATATCCTCATATTTGGAATATTGTACAAGGCATACAATATTCACAACACCTTTTAATAATCTTCAGCAAGATCTAAGTTTTAACAAACTAATGCTTTATCACTTGACCAGAGCTACCCAATATCACTGTAGAACAACAATCAATGTTTCTTTGCTTGATGATTTTGTTACACTTATTCAAATTGTAAATTTTATTTTGCACAGACATGAAACTATTTAAAGTATATATAACAATATCAGTGGAACATTATATAATGAATTGGGACCTGACAGGACAGACAAGACAGGGGCAATGTTTAATGCCCCAGCTATTTAGCTGTCTATATGTGAATCATACATGGAGTGAAGTAGATTTGAGTAAAAAAGTAGGAATTGCAAACAAGTATATTTTCAAGTCACATACCTTCAAACTGGATTTCTGATAATTTCTTGTTAGCATATTTGCCAACAAGGTTGTGTTCTTGCATCAGCATTAATTTGGCAATATCTATTCTTTCTACTAGACCAGAAGTCTGTCGATAAAATGCATCATGGACCTTTTGTGTGTGCCCCAAGTGATTACAAACGTTTTTCAGTTGCTGTGAATCCAAACTTAATGCCTGAAAATAAAACAATATATTAATTATAAGAATTTGCTGATGCCCTTAATAAGTTATATATTACCCTCTTGTTTGCAATACATAGAATTAATGACTGTAAAATGAGTGAAATGAAATTGACATTTAATACAACTTTAACAAAAGAAAACAACGCTAGGTTTCTTGCTCGTTTATTTAATCATAATGTAATAGATAATTACCTGTGCGATTGTTGCTGTCTGCTTGCGAAGATTAGTTGCATATATTCTCTGAGGGCTCACAAGTTTAACCTCTGGTCTCAATTTGACTTCTTCTAAAGCATCACCTGCCTGGATCACAGAAGTACCTTAAAAATAATTTGAAAAATGATCAAATACAACAAAACTAATCCGTTTTTCAGGTACAATTCTTTATTTTTGTTCAGATTGTAACTGCCATGTTTTAAAGTTTTTATGCCATGCTAAAAAGATATAGGCCCTTCTTGAATGAATTACTTGCACTCTTTTTCTTTTTTCAGATCTGCAGGAAAGGCATTGTGTTTAGTAATATTTTGCAGTGTAATCACTCCTCACACAATGGGCATGGCTTCCAGTCTGATAAATAAAAAAATTTTGTCAATTAGCTTTTACAGGTTACTTTTTTTTCACTTAAAGCCTTGGAGTTGTGAAAATTGTTTCCCTTATTGCAAAGAATGGTCTGTTTCTTACGCAGCTGTGTCTTTATTTGTTTGGAAGATGGATCATTACTATCTATTTTCCTTTTCATATCCACCATATCTATCACTTCTTTTTCGTTTCTGTTCAAATGTGTTTGCATGTTAGTCATCAACTTGTGGAAGAAATAACAGGCATTTTTTCTATCGTATGTCCTCCCATGTTTTGAGCTATTATTTGAATTCTTTTGGAATTTCAATGTGTAGATATTCGGACAGTTAATGTCAAATATGTAACTGAGGGTCCTCAGAGGGAGACAAGACTGTGAGGACCGTGTCTTTATCCGCCGACAAGTGAGGGTCATTCTCAACAGATATGTGAGGGTCCTCAGAGGGAGACAAGACTGTGAGGACTGCGTCATTTTCCACCAACATGTGAGGGTCCTCAGAGGGAGACAAGACTGTGAGGACTGTGTCATTTTCCACCAACATGTGAGGGTCCTCAGAGGGAGACAAGACTGTGAGGACTGTGTCTTTATCCGCCGACAAGTGAGGGTCATTCTCAACAGATATGTGAGGGTCCTCAGAGGGAGACAAGACTGTGAGGACTGCGTCATTTTCCACCAACATGTGAGGGTCCTCAGAGGGAGACAAGACTGTGAGGACTGTGTCATTTTCCACCAACATGTGAGGGTCCTCAGAGGGAGACAAGACTGTGAGGACTGTGTCTTTATCCGCCGACAAGTGAGGGTCATTCTCAACAGATATGTGAGGGTCCTCAGAGGGAGACAAGACTGTGAGGACTGCGTCATTTTCCACCAACATGTGAGGGTCCTCAGAGGGAGACAAGACTGTGAGGACTGTGTCTTTATCCGCCGATAAGTGAGGGTCATTCTCAACAGATATGTGAGGGTCCTCAGAGGGAGACAAGACTGTGAGGACTGTGTCATTTTCCACCAACATGTGAGGGTCCTCAGAGGGAGACAAGACTGTGAGGACTGTGTCTTTATCCGCCGACAAGTGAGGGTCATTCTCAACAGATATGTGAGGGTCCTCAGAGGGAGACAAGACTGTGAGGACTGCGTCATTTTCCACCAACATGTGAGGGTCCTCAGAGGGAGACAAGACTGTGAGGACTGTGTCTTTATCCGCCGACAAGTTCATTCTCAACAGACATGTGAGGGTCCTCAGAGGGAGACAAGACTGTGAGGACTGTGTCATTTTCCACCAACATGTGAGGGTCCTCAGAGGGAGACAAGACTGTGAGGACTGCGTCATTTTCCACCAACATGTGAGGGTCCTCAGAGGGAGACAAGACTGTGAGGACTGTGTCTTTATCCGCCGACAAGTGAGGGTCATTCTCAACAGATATGTGAGGGTCCTCAGAGGGAGACAAGACTGTGAGGACTGCGTCATTTTCCACCAACATGTGAGGGTCCTCAGAGGGAGACAAGACTGTGAGGACTGCGTCATTTTCCATCAACATGTGAGGGTCCTCAGAGGGAGACAAGACTGTGAGGACCGTGTCTTTTTCCACCAACATGTGAGGGTCCTCAGAGGGAGACAAGACTGTGAGGACTGTGTCATTTTCCACCAACATGTGAGGGTCCTCAGAGGGAGACAAGACTGTGAGGACTGCGTCATTTTCCACCAACATGTGAGGGTCCTCAGAGGGAGACAAGACTGTGAGGACTGCGTCATTTTCCACCAACAGGTGAGGGTCCTCAGAGGGAGACAAGACTGTGAGGACTGTGTCATTTTCCACCAACATGTGAGGGTCCTCAGAGGGAGACAAGACTGTGAGGACTGTGTCTTTATCCGCCGACAAGTGAGGGTCATTCTCAACAGATATGTGAGGATCCTCAGAGGGAGTCAAGACTGTGAGGACTGCGTCATTTTCCACCAACATGTGAGGGTCCTCAGAGGGAGACAAGACTGTGAGGACTGTGTCATTTTCCACCAACATGTGAGGGTCCTCAGAGGGAGACAAGACTGTGAGGACTGTGTCTTTATCCGCCGACAAGTGAGGGTCATTCTCAACAGATATGTGAGGGTCCTCAGAGGGAGACAAGACTGTGAGGACTGCGTCATTTTCCACCAACATGTGAGGGTCCTCAGAGGGAGACAAGACTGTGAGGACTGTATCATTTTCCACCAACATGTGAGGGTCCTCAGAGGGAGACAAGACTGTGAGGACTGTGTCATTTTCCACCAACATGTGAGGGTCCTCAGAGGGAGACAAGACTGTGAGGACTGTGTCTTTTTCCACCAACATGTGAGGGTCCTCAGAGGGAGACAAGACTGTGAGGACTGCGTCATTTTCCACCAACATGTGAGGGTCCTCAGAGGGAGACTGTGAGGACTGCGTCATTTTCCACCAACATGTGAGGGTCCTCAGAGGGAGACAAGACTGTGAGGACTGTGTCTTTATCCGCCGACAAGTGAGGGTCATTCTCAACAGATATGTGAGGGTCCTCAGAGGGAGACAAGACTGTGAGGACTGCGTCATTTTCCACCAACATGTGAGGGTCCTCAGAGGGAGACAAGACTGTGAGGACTGTGTCATTTTCCACCAACATGTGAGGGTCCTCAGAGGGAGACAAGACTGTGAGGACTGTGTTTTTATCCACCAACATGTGAGGGTCCTCAGAGGGAGACAAGACTGTGAGGACTGTGTCATTTTCCACCAACATGTGAGGGTCCTCAGAGGGGGACAAGACTGTGAGGACTGTGTCATTTTCCACCAACATGTGAGGGTCCTCAGAGGGAGACAAGACTGTGAGGACTGTGTCTTTATCCGCCGACAAGTGAGGGTCATTCTCAACAGATATGTGAGGGTCCTCAGAGGGAGACAAGACTGTGAGGACTGCGTCATTTTCCACCAACATGTGAGGGTCCTCAGAGGGAGACAAGACTGTGAGGACCGTGTCTTTATCCGCCGACAAGTGAGGGTCCTCAGAGGGAGACAAGACTGTGAGGACTGTGTCTTTATCCGCCGACAAGTGAGGGTCCTCAGAGGGTCCTAAGAGGGAGACAAGACTGTGAGGACTGCGTCATTTTCCACCAACATGTGAGGGTCCTCAGAGGGAGACAAGACTGCAAGGACTGTGTCATTTTCCACCAACATGTGAGGGTCCTCAGAGGGAGACAAGACTGTGAGGACTGTGTCATTTTCCACCAACATGTGAGGGTCCTCAGAGGGAGACAAGACTGTGAGGACTGTGTCTTTATCCGCCGACAAGTGAGGGTCATTCTCAACAGATATGTGAGGATCCTCAGAGGGAGTCAAGACTGTGAGGACTGCGTCATTTTCCACCAACATGTGTGGGTCCTCAGAGGGAGACAAGACTGTGAGGATTGTGTCTTTATCCGCGGACAATAGAGGGTCATTATCCACAGACATGTGAGGGTCCTCAGAGGGAGACAAGACTGTGAGGACTGTGTCTTTATCCGCCGACAAGTGAGGGTCATTCTCAACAGATATGTGAGGGTCCTCAGAGGGAGACAAGACTGTGAGGACTGCGTCATTTTCCACCAACATGTGAGGGTCCTCAGAGGGAGACAAGACTGTGAGGACTGTGTCTTTATCCGCCGACAAGTGAGGGTCATTCTCAACAGATATGTGAGGGTCCTCAGAGGGAGACAAGACTGTGAGGACTGCGTCATTTTCCACACCAACATGTGAGGGTCCTCAGAGGGAGTCAAGACTGTGAGGACTGCGTCATTTTCCACCAACATGTGAGGGTCCTCAGAGGGAGACAAGACTGTGAGGACTGTGTCATTTTCCACCAACATGTGAGGGTCCTCAGAGGGAGACAAGACTGTGAGGACTGTGTCTTTATCCGCCGACAAGTGAGGGTCATTCTCAACAGATATGTGAGGGTCCTCAGAGGGAGACAAGACTGTGAGGACTGCGTCATTTTCCACCAACATGTGAGGGTCCTCAGAGGGAGACAAGACTGTGAGGACTGTGTCTTTATCCGCCGACAAGTGAGGGTCATTCTCAACAGATATGTGAGGGTCCTCAGAGGGAGACAAGACTGTGAGGACTGCGTCATTTTCCACCAACATGTGAGGGTCCTCAGAGGGAGACAAGACTGTGAGGACTGTGTCATTTTCCACCAACATGTGAGGGTCCTCAGAGGGAGACAAGACTGTGAGGACTGTGTCTTTATCCGCCGACAAGTGAGGGTCATTCTCAACAGATATGTGAGGGTCCTCAGAGGGAGACAAGACTGTGAGGACTGCGTCATTTTCCACCAACATGTGAGGGTCCTCAGAGGGAGACAAGACTGTGAGGACTGCGTCATTTTCCACCAACATGTGAGGGTCCTCAGAGGGAGACAAGACAGTGAGGACAGTGTGTTTATCGATTGTAATAGGGATCATTTTCCACCAACATGTGAGGGTCCTCAGAGGGAGACAAGACTGTGAGGACTGTGTCATTTTCCACCAACATGTGAGGGTCCTCAGAGGGAGACAAGACTGTGAGGACTGTGTCTTTATCCGCCGACAAGTGAGGGTCATTCTCAACAGATATGTGAGGGTCCTCAGAGGGAGACAAGACTGTGAGGACTGTGTCATTTTCCACCAACATGTGAGGGTCCTAAGAGGGAGAAAAGACTGTGAGGAAGCGTTATTTTCCACCAACATGTGAGGGTCCTAAGAGGGACACAAGACTGCAAGGACTGTGTCATTTTTCACCAACATGTGAGGGTCCTCAGAGGGAGACAAGACTGTGAGGACTGTGTCATTTTCCACCAACATGTGAGGGTCCTCAGAGGGAGACAAGACTGTGAGGACTGTGTCTTTATCCGCCGACAAGTGAGGGTCATTCTCAACAGATATGTGAGGGTCCTCAGAGGGAGACAAGACTGTGAGGACTGCGTCATTTTCCACCAACATGTGAGGGTCCTCAGAGGGAGACAAGACTGTGAGGACTGTGTCATTTTCCACCAACATGTGAGGGTCCTCAGAGGGAGACAAGACTGTGAGGACTGTGTCTTTATCCGCCGACAAGTGAGGGTCATTCTCAACAGATATGTGAGGGTCCTCAGAGGGAGACAAGACTGTGAGGACTGCGTCATTTTCCACCAACATGTGAGGGTCCTCAGAGGGAGACAAGACTGTGAGGACTGTGTCATTTTCCACCAACATGTGAGGG